GTTCTGTATACTGAATGAGGCAATGGTCTCATGAAAAAAATAGCATGTGATCACATAATTAAAGTTTTATAAGACATACAAGGAGGCTTTTTCATTTTTGGTTTTGCAGCCCTGAATATTCTTTTAATTTGTTTTAGTGTAATCTCCTAGGTTTTAGTAAAAGCAAACAAATTGCACGATGTGCTATCGTGTTGATACCTACGTGAGTCATGTGCAGCCTTGGAAGTTCTAAATTGATTGTACGGACCTCTGTTACTTGAGCTGACAGATTAACATAGAGGATGATAGCCTACTGTTCCTACTCAATACTAAAAGGAATGGAACATTTTACTAATGGTTTCAAGGAGGAGGAATGCTGAAACTCAAGGAAGTCAAGTGCTGACCCAGGCTCTGGAAGGGAATGTCATTTAGCAGACAAAATCAATCCTCTACCAAGGAAGCATCTACCAAAATTCACTTCTCCCAAGCTCATCCTGATGTATCCTGTATCCTCTAATCTGTCCCAATACTTTCTTCCCTTCCCTAACCCCTAAACCTAGGGTACCTATACACATGCAGGACTTCTGCACTGTGTGCTAATTAGCATGAGTCAAAGCAGACTTAATTAATCCAGGAGCCTCTGCATAACACGTATTCAGCACACTGCACTTCAAAATGGTGGTAGGGGGTGCTTTAAAGGTTACTGAATTAGTTTTAGTTAAAGTGCCCCCTCCACTATTCTGAAGTGCAGGACACTGAACACATGGGACGCTGGGTGCTTAAATTAAAGTGGCTCTTGGAGTCACTGTAATTAAAACACCTCTCCCTCCACCCCAGAGCATGTGTAAAGATGCTCCTAGTCGCTTTCTCCACTCTGCATCTCAGTTCCAGCCCCCTTGCCCAACAAGTCCTAGAGTTTGACCTTCTGGACTCCCAGACTAAATCACCATCCCTTTGTCCAGCCAATAATCCCAATTTCCTTCTTGCCTGCATTTCTTATCCCTACCTTTTCGCAGTTTCAGTCTCCATCCATGAACTAGTCTCCAACCATCCATGGGCTCCTTGTCCAAACTCAGTTGTCATTCTCTTATTTACCTGGCTTCTTGTCTCAGTTTCTTTCACAGCCAGTCTTCCCCTTCACCCTCGTTTCTTTTTTGATGTCTGCCATTATCCACCATTCTTTTCCCCCCTATCCTACTACATTAGTGCCATTCTAACTCTCAAACACTAGGTTTTGGCTTCTAGTCTATTTACCCTTATTCTCTTCCTGGCTCTTTGTCCCAGTTTCCTGGCTCAGTCAGTCCTAGCTTCTCTCTCAGGTTTGCCTGGTTCCCTTCCCTGCCAGCCTCTAGTACAAATCACTCCATCCCTGTAGGACTGTTCCTTCATCTCCATTTAAATCACTTGCTCCCTCTATGCTATGTACTAGCAGGCATATGTGTCATTAGGCGCTGGGACAGGCAATCTCCAGGGGTCCTGAAAGATGTGAGGAAGCCCTCTCCTCCTCCCCCAGTTCTTTACCAGAAGAGGAAGTACATTAGTTTGATCCAGCTCCCCAGCATCTGTATAGATCGGGTGCTTCAGTGGGGCTTTTTGGTGCTTTTATCTCAAGATGACTGAATCAACTATTAGATAAAAGCACCAAAAAGCCCCTCTGAAGTGCCTGATCTATACAGATGTTGGGTGAGCTGGGTCAAACTCATGTGATACCTCTTCTGGGCAGGCGCTGCGCTTGGTGTGGGGACATGCCGAACTGATAGTAAAGCACTGCTTTGTGTTTTTTTTAAATGTCTGTAAGCATCCCAAGTGCCTGGACCTGGCAGAACCTTCACTAATCCAGAGATGGGTGTATAGGGGAATTCTTGCCCAGCCATGGCCTGGCCCAACCCAGTGAAGTTTGTATCTTCAGGAAATTTAGTTGTTAAGATCTGTGCAGCCTCCTTTGAGGATGTGCAAACTCCATTTTTTCAGATACAGTGACAGTTTCAATACAAATTTACAAATATTACAGCTGGGAAGCAAAGCCACCTTGGTCTTAGTTAAGAGTCTGTAACATCTTCAAAATAGTCATAGGTGATCAGAAACTAACCTATACTTGTTACAGAACAGAAGTTTGGCACACACAGACTGGTTTAAAAATGGTGGAACCTGGTCTAAGATTTGCACCCCCTCCTCCACCAAAGGGCAAATATGTGTTCTGTTCACTACCAAGCTAAACTAAGCCACTTACAGGAAACCACATCACTTAGATTTGTTCCACCTTTGGCTTTTTGAATGTCTGTATATAGCCATAATGGTTTTTTGCAACCTCATTTTGTAGCTTTTTTTTCTACACACTGAAATTGTAAAAATATGTAAACTAATAGGGCATAAGTTGTGAATGGGTTTGTATTGGTTAGCTTTTCATATCAACCTCTGATCTGAAACAAAGTCTTAAGTTTAAATGTATCTAGTTTAGTTTATCAACTACTGTCCAAAACCCTGTTTGTCATTTAAAAGTTGTTGCATTCATGATCACAAGTGATAAAGCACAGGGATTTCTGCCCTAGGGTATTTAAATACCAGATGAACATTCACAAGACAAGAACATTTGAACCTTTTTGGCACCTCCTATGCAGTATTTGTATTTGTATTTGAATTATCTAGCCTTCAGTGGCGTGCCAAATGAAGCATGCAGGAGAGCGACATCTATCAATGATGCTATAGTCAAGTTCTACGAGCCAAATTAATCCTTGGTCTAATTTCTGAATTAAGCAAAATGACATCAGTTTCTATAATTCCAAAGTAAGAGGTGTCTCATTCATAGATTCATAGATTCATAGATTAAGGGTCGG